TTTGGAATTCCTGCGAAAATAATACTTGAAATATGTTTCTTTCATAATGTATAGACCTTCAATAAAATTTATGTATTTTTTTAAAACCCAATAAGTTATTAATTGCTTATTTACTGTTTCGTTGATTGCATTCAACGTTACATACTATCGACTGGTTTAGCTGTCAAATATGATCTATTATTTTGTGACGACTATAGTTATGTCAAATATAAATGCAAACCACCTTATTTTTCACTATAGTTACAAAAGTCATTCATTAAATATCTTATTTTTTTAATTTTTCAAAGAAACATTCCAGTTTGCGCTATATAACTTTTTACAAATTATTTTAATGTAACAATATAATTTTTTTTTATTAAATATTACTTTATTATTCACTATTACCATAAACATAATTAATATCAAATTTTCTCCACCTGTTCTTATTTAATCATACATATAAACCTACCACCTAAAATCTAGGCTCGCGTTCAAATACTGGAAGATACTGTTACCCTGAGACTCAATAAGTGTTGAAATACTGTTACCCTGAGACATAAGTTGACAAATCCCATGTGCCTGTAATTTCACCAGCCCCTGCCCCTGCCCTTCATAACCGAAACGCAGTAATGTTCACATTACTGCTTGGCGGCAGAAATAGGCAAAGTGGCAGTACTTCCCTGGACAAACTCTACTGCTACTCAAAATAATAGTATGGTATAAACCAGCCGTCATGTTTACTCTTAAAATGATTTCTCTGATGTGATTTAGAGCATTATGTACTGTGTGACGTGAATACCTTGATTAGTTTGAGTGTAAGGAGCATGCCTTCACAGCAGACGCGGCCCGAACACCACATGGTAAAGCAGTGCTCGGCCTCGCGCCGCCAGCCGCGCTGGTCTCCGGGCGCGCACACCACGTCCACCCCCGTCTCACCTACAAGAATACCAGCAACAACGTTAATAGCTTACTTATTTGGATTGCCATATAAATACATATAGTCTTTTTTTTAACACGGAGTAAAATGACATTTGTAGGGTTGCCACTTTTCATAAAATTTTAAATAATTATGTAGTTGTTGTCGATAGTTTTATCGATAGATTGTAAAAGTAGATAAAATGTTGCCAACAATGACTAAATTGTGAATGTTACGACGTTCTAATGATTACTAATTACATTATTGCCTTCGTTATTCTTATTTTGACAGTTGGCCTATTAGTATTGAGATCAATTTTTATTCATATACATTTTAATAAGAATAGCCGGATTGGATTATCCATATTGAATTAAAATTAAAAACTTTGAAATGTGTCTCCTCTTTATATCTTTCCATAACATAGTCCTAAATACGGTGTATGTATGTATAAACTTACAAAAATTGACAATTTAAATGAACTTGCTCAGTAGTTGGATGAATAATGGATCGAGGATGATTCAAATGAAACAGTTTGGCTAGTTATTCCATAATCGTGACCAATATTTATTCGATATTCAGCAGATAGTCGATAGAATATTTATTGACTGCAATCACTAGCTGCTCGCAAGCTAACAACACTTTTGTGCAATGAACTGTCATTTTACTCGGTCTTCAAAAAAGACAGGCTACAATTTAGAGGAAAACTTAAAATATACATCACAACATGGTACATTGTCGTTTATTTAATAAATCAAAGCCCTTACTGTATTACAAAAATATAAAAGTATAGGCAGTTTCAATCCGAAATGTTGAAAAGTTAAACAAACAGGTCATTGACACAACCATAGACAGTTAAGTGATGGTCAATTGTAGTGCCAAGTAACCAAATGCATTATTGCATTCTTATTAGTGTTTTTTGTTATTATTGTTATTAATTCTCATTTGTTTGATGTTAAATTAAGTAGTCAATTGCACTATATATTTTATAATTACAATTATAATTATAATTACAATACGTAAAATCTTAGATCAATTAAAACCTTAAATAAATTAATTAACAATCAGTTAATTAATTGAATAATTCGAGGAATGACGACCATGAGTAAATTGAAAAGTTAGTAGTACTTCAAATATATTTTGTTTATAATACCACATGACGGGACAAACAAATCGTGCGCCTAGTGGTAAGCGACACGCCTATTCATCACAGTTGCAGTGTCATTCAAAGCTTTTTAAAGGCACTGCACTATCACCAGCACCTAATACCCTTCTAAACCAGAACTCGCGTTACTGCTTGGCGGCTGAAATAGATAAAGTGACAGTACTTCCCTGGACAAACTCTTTCACATGGAGCTCTACAGCTACTTAAACCTGGTCTCAAACTAGAGAATCCCCTATACTGTGAGTACCAGAGTAGCGGGATTCACCCTGGGGCACTATCCTACATCCAGACCAGAACCAATTTAAAATGTTCATTTTCCGAGTTGATCCTTTCGGGAATCGAACCCGGGACCTCCACATTCTAAGCCCACAGTGCAAACCGATGCGCCGCTGAGGCCGTCATTGACGACACCCGTTAATTGTTTCCAATTGGAGCGTAGTTGTCATCCTATTGATTTGGCAGAATAGGTTTCAAACAAATTAAATGACATTTCGTCTCTATTTCTGGTTATATACTCGATGGCGCCAATACATAGGGGCTATAATCACGAACAAAACTGATAGATAAAATGACTTCTGTTTTATTCTACAGTAGTTTTCTATGACATGCTTGACTTTAGCTGATTCTATTTTGGTAAGGGTGTTGACTCTCTATGTGGGTATAGCTTTGCTAGAGACCATACTAGCGTACTATATAAAGTATTCTCACCTACTAACGTGAAGTTGTCATCGAGCAATGGCTTGTGCAACTTCAGGAAGTTCTGTGCAATGGAGGTGTTCTTGGCACGGCCCACTGCGTATGCCAGCGCGTATGCTGCCAGTGCACAACACAAGATGCCTTCTAGCCAGTAGGCGTCCCAACGTGGACGGATCATTATAGGAACCTGAGAAAGTTATACAGAGGACTATGTAGATAATTGCTTACATCAAAAAACACGTTTCCTATGAATTCAGTATTTGTATCAATAATAATAACAAAGTTGTGAAGTACTTTCACAAAAAAATATCATGGTTGTAAAACATCATCACACACACACTGAAGCTCAATAACTTTAAACAAATACAATAATTACTTTAGAAATAGTGATCTTTGGCTGCTCTGGCGTGCGAGGTACGCTGTCTTCATAGCCTTCAAACTCTTCCGGATCATGGAAATGCTCAAACTCATTATCCTCATCCTGTAAAACAAATATTATTATTACCATAAATATGCAGACACCCAAGTGTTATCTTCACACACGGTCAAGAGCGCATTAAGCTGGACATTTTAGGCTTCTGGCAGTTCATAGCATTTAAATCTGAAAAGTATCAGCTCGACATGCACTTGAACCTGTACAGGTACTAAAAAGTTGCACTATAGTAGCATAAATCACACAATAGTGCACACCTGTTGCATTAATAAAAGTTTTATAAAAATCTGTGTAACAAACCTCTACAATGATTTCATCCTCTTGTTCCCTGGGTGATTCAAATTCTTTAGTCTTAGGCTTTTGTGGTGGGACATCCTTTTCTGTGTCCAAAAAATCTGAAATTAAGACAAATGTTTTCAAATTGACAAAAGAAAAACAGACATTAAGTTTTCAGGTAACAATATCTATTATATAATTGACTAAACGGAAAAATACGAGTATGAAGCAAAACGTAATAAACAACACAGTCACACAAACTGCAAAGCAGATTGCAAAAATATATGTATATATTATATTCAGTGATCCCAGTGTCTGGGTTACATATACCCATCTATCTCATACCATTCTTAAATCCAGCAGCTGGCTGCTCATCATCAGCATCAAACTGCTCGAACTCTGCAAAGTCGTCATCTTCCAGCATTTGGTCTTCATATCCTCGCACTAACCCTGCACACGCTAGCAGCGCCAATGAGAGGAATAGCAGACGCATTGGGGAACTGGAAGTAAATTCATGTAAGTTTGGCTATTGATAATTTATTTTAAAAAGTGATCACACCAAATGTTCAATTAGTTCAGTGTTTTATATTGGAACCCATTTTTTATCATACCCTTATAATAAAATTCTTCTAAAAGTTTTATCACTTCAAATCCGGTTGACAAGGAAATTACTAATATTCTTGCCTAACAGTGAAAACCTCTGTTTGTATTTTTAGATAAGGTTGTGGTGCCAGTGACCGAGCACCACTTTTCAACTTCTCTTTTTAAATTTTATTTCTAATAAGAAAAATTTTCTATCAGTAACACTATTGATATCAATAAGTGTCAGTTACTGGGTGTTCACTGTTGGTGGACTTTTGGTGTTCATTACTGGGGATTTAGAGAAATTCTAGTTCATTTAGTATTTTTCTAGTAATAATCATCTTTCTTCAGGAATATATCCTGTCAAGTAAACTGATCGCTATTGATATAAGTATAAAAACAAACAGTTATACCACATTTAAAAACACACTTCCCTTAAAATGTTGATCACTGTGTGTTTTATACCTCTCCTGAAAACTACACATTATATCACATAATGAGGTATTCACTCTAAGGCGATGGTGTACATTGTGTACAGACATTAATTTCACTATTTTTAATGTTGTACTGTAAAACCCAAAATACACAATAGTTATCTAAGACAATTTGATCTCAACAGATAAGGAAGTACAACATATTTCCACAATAGAATAAAGTGTTGGACAATAAATTCAATGACACTTTAATTGTACTCTATGCTAGGTCGTTAACACACGAGTAAAATAGCAATTGGCGTAATAAATAAGATCCACTCGAAACAATAAGACCATAGACCATACACTATATTTGAATTAAACAAAATCTTATCCCTGACATAACTATTTCAAGGTTGCATAGATGTAGCTTCTTATCACAATTTTCAGTTAAATGCTTGCCAGTGTCATAACTTAGGTAATTAACTCAAGAAGGCTACGAAAATTACAATAAAACAGGAAAAATAGCGTGTAATATTAAAACTTAAAATCGCTTTAACAGCGAATAATGTCGGTCGTACTTTTTGTATGTCGCTTACTCGAATATAACTTAATTCAAGGCTTTCTAAATATATTTTTTCTTTATTATACGAGGTAAAAATAGCGAATTTTCGTACGACATATTCCAATATTAATACGATATATAAAAGTATAAAGAAATTAAAATCAATTACCTGTTGACCTTTCTAAGGTGTGTAAATAATTAAATCACTTCATTAACACTAATAATTAAATTAAATCACGAAAATACTTCACAGCTCTTTCAACTACCGCACAAAATGATTTCGATGTTTCTTTCTAACCTACATATGGTAAATGTCGTAAAACTTCCTCGTGATTGGTCAAGATTATATTGGAATTACTTTTCCATCAATAGAAGCTCAGATACATCACTGGTTATCATTTAGTCAATGGAAACAATCTCAACATGTCACGTCATCCTTTACGACGTTTGGCAGCTATTATTGCCAGTGTAAAAAAGTAAGAAACTGGCTTTGGATTATTGTGATTTGGTTTGTTAAGTCAGAGTGGCAGTGATGCTTAAGGGCCTATGCACACGGCGTATTTTGTACGCGCCGACGACGCGCAGATGACGCGCGTTAACGCGACTCAAATGCGATGCAGTCGCAATAAGTAAACTTTTACACACGTTCACAAATTCAATGGCGCCGTGAACGGGTATCATCTGCGCGTATACGCGACGTAGACGCGCTGTAGTCGCACGTACGTATCGCGCATTTTGATAAGAGATAGTTAGATAGTTTATAGTAATATAATAATTTTAGTTTTGAAAATGAAACAACTCAAAAAATATAAAAGCACGAACAACGTGTCGACATACGATGTACTAAAATAGGTTTAAGAGAAATCACATAGTAACTGTACAAAATTATTACTATACGGTTCTGGGTGTTTATTTTGCATGCATTGCTCATTGTGCGCGTTTTTATCAATACAAACACAACAATCTGCTTTTTGAGCCTCTACGGCGCCGTAAACGTGCGTTACGCCGTGTGCATAAGCTCTAAGGCTCAACTCACACTAGCGCATAATTGAAGCGTCGCGTCGCGTCCTGTTTTTCGAGTACGACGCCTAGCGACACTCGCATTAGTGCGCCCGGATAGCAGTGTGGTCGGCGTCTGACGCCTCACTGTGGATAACGCGCTGTTAAACTTGACGTGCTCTTGAACTTATACATTTTGAAGCTGTCCAGATAAATCACGTGCTTAGATCATCTTCATAATTATGTCTTTAATAGCACATGCATCTATGAGGCCAACAAAACTATCGATAACATCGCGAATTATTTGAGTAAAAAAAAGCTCGCTCGTTATTTTTTAATTACATCAAGAATCGTGAGGATGAAGACCATTTTAAAAAATTAACACCGAAGTAAATTGGTTCTAGGACCGTTGTGCTTCGTTGCCGGATGTGATAATAAGTATCCACAAGGAAGATAAGAAATAGCCACCTAATTTAAATTTCAAAAATAGGCAATTACGATATGTGAATATTTCTAGTAGATAATGATATTGTGCAAACAGAAAAAATATACAGACAAGTCTAGAAGAATAATCAAAAAAGTATTTTAATATTTTATACGTGTATTTTAATATTCATATCCTAGAATAAATTGATGAATTTATGAAATAACAACACATAAATTGTACATAAATCACGACTATTATGCTACTTCTTTCTATCGTATCGGTCAAACATTATAATGCGTGCCATCGTGGGTATGTTTCCTAAACAAATTAATTAGTCAATGTGAATAATAATTTTATAAATAAAATTAAAATTCGTGTTTACAAATAAACTTACACAACTTAAAACCTTTAGCGGTCTACTTTTGCTTTTCGTTATTAGGTAATACCATTATATCTAGGGTAATCATTGCGCCTGCACCACATTGCGCCTGAACCGACCGCCATAGTGCGCGGGCGACGACGACCGCCAAGCGCGCAGGTGATTGCGTCCTGCGCGGTTCTACTAGTACCCCGCCAACCGCGAGCAACCGTCACCACTACAGGCGTAAAACGCGCCGTGAAATGTGCTACTAATTTTACATACTTAACTATTACATTCTACAGACGCGGGTGGAAACCGCTCAGTGAGTTCTTAGTGTAACGAGAAATGAGTTTCCGTGCCATCTAACGTGTAACAGTTAGCTACTGTATATTAGTAGAATTTTTACTGAAACGCCACCTGATGGTGAATGGCTGAACTAGGATGAAAAAATACTGAAATATTGTAATATAACTCTTGCTCAATTGACTGTAAGTTTAATTTTGTTAAATTTTAAAATTGTGTTACGTCGTTTTCAAGTTTTAAGCCCTACCCAATCAAAATATTTAAGCTATGGTAGTAGATAATAGAGCGTAAAGTTTGAATAGCACACAAGCTAAAAAGTGGCGACATCGGTACCCGATCTTACATAGCGTCATTACATATCTCCCCTTTTTTCCTATATCTAGAGTAGTAACACAACGTTGCATGGTTTTTTTAACTTAAAAGTCTATGCGCAATCGTTTTCCTAAACGATTTTGTAAGATTCAAACTAAAAAGCGTAAGAGTCGTATTCAAGAACTCTACTTAATGTTCAAGTCAGGACTTGAGTATGACCCTAATGGCAAGGACTTCAGTATGATTTCTAGTGCTTTAAATCATACTCAAGTCCTGGGGGTCTACTCTCGATCTCCGTCCGACATCCGTCCGAAACAATTACTGCCAAATATGCAATACTTGACCAAATGAAAAGAAGCGTGATGCGAATGAAGCTTCATACTGGATATTTATCGTTTAATTTTGTCAAATATTACTTATTTGACAGTAAATGTTTCGGACGGATGTCGGACGGAGATCGAGAGTAGCCCCCCTGACTTGAGCATTGAGTAGAGTTCTGGAATACGAGCCTAAGTGAAAAGCTTTTAAAAAAGCACAACGTTTTAACGTTTAAAAAAATAAATAGTTTTTCACATCTCTAATGGTAAGTACTGCGGGCTCCTTTCGTGCACTCCGATATTATGATACTTACTGTTTAAATATATTGCTTTCTTCAAACGAGGACATAAGTACATATTAAGGCATATATAAAAACTAATGTCTTCAAATTTATTATCAAACGGCATTTGTTTTGTAAAACCACAAAGTACCCATTACTAATCTTACGCAGGTAACTGCTATCAATTAAAAAGTCATAATTTCAAAATAAATAGCTCTGCGTCTGGATTCCCAAAAACTTCATCATTAGTGGCTCAATTATTCTAAACTATACGTTAATATTTAATAAATAGATATGTTTTAATTGATAGATCTGGCGATGTTATAAAAATTTGTTAGTATTTATTTTAAAAACATTTCTGTACAAACAAACCATTCATCGGCTAAATTCGTAAGCCTCGTAACCGCCATTGATGGGTACTGTAATAAGGCACAAAAACAGGATTACCTTTACTTTATAGGTAAAAAAGGCTCTACAAATTATATTTTCATCTTTAATCAAATTAAATTTAGCCTAAAGCATTGTTGTTGTTGCAAATATTTACAACATTGGAAATGAAATTATTTTTCCGGATTTAAATCACGTATATTTGTTTTTTCAAACAAACCGACGCTATATTTCTGAATATACAAAAACCGACCTGAAAAGTTCGTGGCATTACAGCTACCTATTTGCCAAATTTTATTGAAATCGGTTGCCGGAAAGGATACATCCACTAGTTTGCCATCCATAGAGGTGGAATATTTGAGGTGCCCTCTTTCCAACTAAAAAGAATCATAAGACCGGTTCTCAAACGCCAGAGTAACCGCGTAACATACACACAAAAAAATACAGTCGAATTGAAATCCTCCTCCTTTATTCAGACTCACGGTAGTTATAAATTAATAAATAACATAAAAGATAATGATATTACCCGACGTACATACCTACGCATCAATTTGATATCGTTTACTCTGGAATCTCTATCAAGAGCTACTTGTAGTTATGAGTTGGATGCCACGAGAACGAGAAAATTGTGACCAGTTCACGTGACATAGAAAACAGCTATAGTAATCTAAGTATCACATTAGTAAGATACCAACGTGTCAAATTATTTCAAATAGAAACGTTGGTATCTTACTGAAAAGTTGGTATATCTTACTAATACACTTAAATTGCTCTAGCTGTTTTCTATGTCACTTTAGTAAGATACCAACGTTTTAAATTATTTATATTTGAAATAATTTAACACGTTGGCATCTTAGTAAAGTGATACTTAGATTACTCTAGTTGTTTTCTATGTCACGTAAACTGGACACAATTTTCTGGTTCTCGTGGCATCCAACTCGTAACTACAAGTAGCTCTTCATAGAGATTCTAGAGTAAACGATATCAAATTGATGCGTAGATTCGTCGGGTACTATCTTATGTTATTTATTAATTATTACATACATTTTAATAGAAAGCCACCGTGAGTCTGAAAAAAGCAGGAGTAAGATACCAACGTTTCTATTTGGAATAATTTAACACGTTGGTATCTTACTAAAGTGATACTTAAATTACTCTAGCTTTTGTAAACAAGATTAGGGCTGGTAAACTATAGTAAAAGTATCTCCTTGCCCTTTATACCTCACTGCCCCAGAAGCAGGGTACCAATAAATACCCATACATTGCTCTGATTCCAAAGTGAGTAGCTAAAGCACTTGCGCTATAGAAATCGGAAAAAACGACGGTACCCACAAACATCCAGATCCAAAACAATATTGAAGTCTTTATCTCTACGTTGGCACTCGATCCAACTCGACTTCTCAGAGATGGCGGCACTATGAAAACCGGTGCGCAAGCCAATCTACCACGAAGGCTGTCAGTATTATTATTAACCGACTTCAAAAAAGGAGGAGGTAATCAATTCGACTGTATTTTTTTGTGTATGTTAAGCGATTACTATGAACAGATTTTAATGATTCTTTTTTTTTGTTGCGAATAGGGTACCTCAGTATTTGTCCCATTTAATATTCGTAATATATAAAAGAAAATATTCCACTTCTAAATGTGGCAAACTAGGGAACGAATCCGGTTTCGCGCACTTTCCGGTAACCGATTCCAATAAAAGTTGGCAAATAAAGGTAATTCTACGAACTTTTGAGGTCGGTTACTTTTATAAAAAGTTACAATGATGTTATTGCAAATTACGCCAACATGACATAATATTTAACACTAACTACTTACTGCTTTTTAACCGACTTCAAAAAAGGAGGAATTCCACTGTACTTTTTTGCGTAGGTATGTTACGCAATTACTCCGGTAGGTATTTGTGAACCGATCCCATAATCCCCCATGCACACGTATTGGTCCCATTTCACGAAATTTTGAGGTCGATAATTTTTATAAAGAAGTTATAATTATTGTACGTATATGGGGTGGAATACGTTACCTGCAGACATATTCCCTAAACACTGGAACTTGGGCCTTTTCAAGGCGAGAGTGAATAGGCATTATTTAGGTGCGCATGCTCCATCGTTGACCTCATCATCACTTTCCATCACGTGAGTTGGAGGTCAAATGCGCACTTATTTTATCATACAAAAAAATCATATAAATATCTCTATTCATTTTTACCTTTCAAAATGTAACAGACAAATCGATAAACTTGTAGATACGGTTCACAAATTTCAAAATTTCCTCCCACTGTGTAGAGAACCTAAGGCAATGTGTAGTATAACATATTTATCTAATCTATTTAAAAGTATACTAATTTTTGCTTACTTAGTTTAATATCCTGCTGACCTTTTTGGATATAGAACAAGCTCAGAGCAATTGTTTTCAGTGTACTGTCACAGTACAGTGCGTACTAAGTCTATACACGTTTAAGTTTTATAATAAAATTTATTGTATGTCACTTTATACACATAAGGAATTGAGAGTGTGAGAATGATTTTATATGTGTCTTAAGGATACCTCAAAAAGATTTCAAAAAGCTATTTATATTTAAAATGATCCCCGCTGTACCTTTTACAAACATAATTATAAATGTACGTTGTCGGTTACCTATGTCGCCTATGTGACAATAACAAAAAATAGCTAAGTTATTTTTACAATCTGCAAAGAACCCGAAACGTTGGCTTAAACTTAAAAAAGCTTAAACAAAAACTTAAAAGTTTATTTTTGGCAAATTTAATGTGTTCTGTAAAACTTCATGGAACAATAGTTATTTGTATGCAAGGCTTCAAGGTTGTTGTTTGACGCGAATGCTTATATTGATATCAGAGCAAACGAAGGATTCTTAGGGTCGTATTCTAGAACTCTACTCAATACTCAAGTCTGGACTTGAGTATTGCAGTGAGCACTGAAAATCATACTCAAGTCCATTCCAGTCCATATTAGCAAGTCCTTGCCATTAGGGTCGTATTTCCAGTGCTTGAAATCATACTCAAGTCTGCTCAAGTCCTGACTTGAGTAGAGTTCTGGAATACGACCATTAGATTGAATATTGTTGGTTGTTCAAAAATTAAATCCTGAGCGTAGTGAGAGTTTCAAGCCACGAGACGCAAAACAACTTTGCTGCCGAACGAAACACACAACTTTTCACCTCACTATAACGACGACAATGGTATGGACAAATGGCGTGGTTATTGTTTTTTTTTTTTCATCGAAAGAAAAAGTTAGGTTCAACCTTTCGATGGGTTCAACACACTCCATCGTCAAATTTGTAAGTCAATGATCGTCAAGTTCTATTTTCAAAAACCATTTTCACTCTAGCTTGAAAAAAACGCTTTGAAAAAGAAAGCCTTTCCGATTTAGTGAGGTAATAAAGTTATTGTCTATGACGTAAGTAATATAGCCCTCCGAGGTTGTTAATACGTTACAAAAAACCATGTATAATAATTTAAGTTAATACCTATAATAATTAACTCCGATAGCATTGACTGATAATTAAAATCTCATATAAAATAAATTAAAGTGTCCGATCAAAGACTTGTTAAACTATTTCTTAATAAAAAATCGAATGAACACTTTCCCATGTGTACGTCGACAGTGAATCCAGTTGTTCTTGTATGGCAACCCTGATAAAAATAACATACTCAATTAAATCCTCACAATAAATACGACACAAATATAAATTAACTGGTTTCTCGAAAATTCTCCTTATTATTATTTAGCGTCAATAAAACGACAACAAAGCAATTTCCGTGTTCAACGAATTATGTACTACTTTATTTTATTTATATGTAAATATTATAAATTGTGCTAGGTGGATACTTAATGTGCTAAACAACCTCACCGCTCACCAATTATATATTTTTTTATGATATCAAGTAAGGGGACGAACAATTCGTATGCCCTGCGGTAAGCGACGCGCTTGTCCATAACAGTTGCTGTGCCACTCAAACCTTTAAATCTCAAGATCTTAGGGTCACAGCCACTGCGCCCGTCCCCTTAGACGTAAGTTGCCAAGTCCCATGTGTCAGTAATAGGCAGAAATAGGTGAGGTGGCAGTACTTTCTTGACGACCTCTTTCACAAGGAGCTCTACAGCTACTTAAACTGGTTTCAAAACTAGAGAATCCCCTGTACTATGAGTATCAGAGCAACGGAATTCGCTCTGGGGCACTACCTTACACCCAGCCCAGTACCAATTCAGAAAAGTTAATTTCCCGAATTGGTCCTTATAGGAATCGAACCCGGGACCTCCACACCAAATGCCCACAGTGCAAATTGGTGCGCCGCCGCCGCCGAGATCGCCATTTCCCTATATATTCGTAATTGTATGTATGTATATAATTTGACCTAATTAAAATTACACGTAACTACCTGATTGAAATAAAGTTACATTGTCCCGCAATAAACAGACAATATTATTACTAACTTGCTAAAGCATTCGCAAATTCCTAGTAGTGCATTTCATCATCATGCCAGGTGTTTAATACAAATTCGTTTTTCATCGGTTGTTGCTTTGATTTGTATCAATATCCAATGTACTGTGAGCTAGATCAGCGAGCTTTATACTTTAAACACCCTTATAGCGGTGAATCAGTGGAGTCCATATAAGCTGTAGTAATAACATGTTCAACGCCAGTCGCTTCTCAGAGCGCATACGCTGCTGACGCTCCTTTTTATAATTTATTTTTTATTTATTATTGTAATTAATCGTTTCCGGCGCAATGGCGTCAGCCGTGATTAAGTTCAGTGCCATATTGATGCTCATCGTCGCGTGCGCAGCTGATGTTTGTTAGTATATATTTTTTTAACTTACATTATATATCTTAGTATCACAACGTACCACTTACAAAGCCTTAATATAAAATTTTGGTAATCATTTATATAATTAAAAAAAAAATTGTCTAGAAAATAATTACGGCGGCCGCTAACAAACAAGTGACAAAATATTTTTTTGAGATATCATAAAAAACCATAACCCAGTTTTTTCAGTTTTGTGAACCGATTTTCATGACTATTTTTTGTTGGAAAGAGGATACCTCCACAGTGGTCCCATTTAATTTTGAAGACAATCATCCACCTCTAAGTGGGCTGTTCACGCATGAAGATTCATTTTTATAAATAGCGCCTAAATTTTATTGTAAGGAGCAATTATTTTAATTGTTGCTTTGCTGTTTTTAGTTTTTTTGTTTTTTGTTTTGCGTTTTTCTCTCTCAATATACTTTGAGTAGTGAGAACCGATTTTTATTATCTCCTGTGTCAAGTCCCGTACAATGGCGAACTAGGAGATATTTCAATAAAACATGGCAAATAGATGTAATTCCACGTACTTTTGTGGTCGGTTTTTTTAGTACTCTGTACTGAGATTATTATTAAAAGAAAATTTTGTGCTCTATCTTATTCTGTTTAAAACGGATATTTGACCATCTATCACTTAGCCGCGCTTTTGTTAGTGGACGGGAGAATTATGATAATGCCGTGGTAGCCTAATGATTGGACCTGCCGCCCCTTAAGCAGAGGCCGTGGTGGGTTCGAATCAGGGTTCGCACCTCTGACTTAATTTAATTAATATTAATTTAAGTGCGAAATTTAATTCGAAATTTCCCATGAGATTTTTGGGTGAAGAAAAACATCGTATTAAAACCTGCACGTCGAAAAAAGGTTCACGACCCTTGGAAAACGTGTCCCCAACCCGCAATAGGCCAGCGTGGCGGACTACGGCCTCGCCTGAGTAGAGACACATGACCAGCAATAATAATAATAATAATATATCAATATCAAGCAATAACACATAAACTTACAAAAAGGTAACTAATTACCCATATTACAGAAGTAATAACAGTGTCTACGGTGGTACTACATAGTTCATATTTCAAACTATACTAAACACGCATTTATTCATTTTGATAACCTAATAACTCTGGCTTACAAAACATTTACAAATAACTATTTCTTAATTTCAACATGATGCACATCTCAGTGACTTCGTATACAAATTATTAATCAAACATAATCGGATCAATAAATGATGTAAACAAATTCGGTATTCACATATATGTTTATCTTTAAACCATTACGTAATTATAAAATTAGTTATTTAATAAATAAAATGCTCAAAGTTAGCAGTTAGACATTTGAAAACAGTCGTCAACCGTAAAAGGTTTTTTTTAAATTTTGGACTATTAAGTAGCTTATATGGATTTTTAAAAACTCAAGGTTCTATCCACATGTTTGTTACAATGTTCATCTAATAAATATACAGGTAACGTACAATAAAAGCGTAAATACTAGAAAGTGAAACTAGGATTAAATTATATGAATTGTTCCCTAATAAAAAAAAATAAATTGATCCCTGCAGCAAGTTTTCCAAGATGCTGGCAGCGTTCCCCTTTGTACGGCTATGCCAATACATCTTGCAAGATAGCTCCCGGCCTTTGGGTTTCCCAAACAGGCTATTAATTTTTTGGACAAATTTTTGTACAAATGAAGGGCACCGGGAGCCCACGCGTCAAGGGTCGTTGTTATTGTTTAATAAATCGTTGTATCGACTGTCGACTATAGTTATTATGGCAGATATTCGTAATCAGGGCTGGGCAGTATTTGAATTACTTGTAATTGAAATACGTATTTAAAATACAAATACGTATTTTGTATTTGTATTTCAATTACTCCCTAAAAATGTATTTTGTAATTGGTATTTTAAATACCTAACCGTAATGTATTTTGTAATTTGTATTTCAAATAATTTCGTTGTAAAATACATTTCAACAAAATACTTTTTTTTTCAATGTACAGCCTATTATGTGACGTGCATAGATTGATATGATATTGAACTCAATAGTGACGTGTGTGTGTGTGTGTGTATGTGTGTAGCCCTTAAAGGATGGAAAATGTAGGCAACACTGCATGGTAATGTCAAAGACGTCAAAGTCATCTTTTCGCGGTTAAATCTTGACTATGGAAAGCTAAGGATATGTTTTATTGACATATCTATGAAGTATTTTAATAACCGGCAATCTATCTCACCACTGCTCTACGTGTCTTTCAACCCTGACGTTGGCGAAATCGTCGCGCAAAACGACGGAGCCATAGATACAAAAGTTGAAGTTGATAACAGACGTTATATGTATATGATGCATTTAGATGTTGAAACATAAAAAAAGACAATAAGTCTTTGTTTAACTACTGCGTGCCGTCGTAAGCCAAAAGAGATAGGACTACCATTGATTTATGATAAACACGGGAATCGAAGATACGTAACGTCATCTTAAATGCCAACTGTCCTCATTTTGGCATTTTTGTAGTACCCTTTGATAACCGTTTCCGGTTGTCAAAGGGAAGTACATCAAATGTCAAAACCAATGTTTCGCCAAATGTTTTAGTGAATTATTCGCAAGAATTGTAACGAAATGGACAAAAATATCGACAGTGAGAACAATTAAGTTAATTATAAAAATAATAATAATAAAAATAATTGATAAAAATGCGTCGCAGCAGCATTAAGGGGTGCGGCAGTAGAAAAAGCGGAAATCAACCGATGTTACATTACATTATTTTTCTGCCTATAAATCATACAATAACCCAAATATCTCCATGTAATTAGACTCATTTAAGTAGTTTATTCATAAATCTTACCGAATTTGGCTTTGGTTACTACAGATTGCCTGTTTGTTAATATATTTTGATGATTGTTGATAACGATTATTTTGAGATAGTGTTGTTCTTGTAAGCATATATATTATCGCTATTTTGTTATTAAAACAATTGACTACGAGGTTTTTATTATTTCATTATTGTTATTTTTTTTGAATGATACCTACAAATCAAAAAAGAAAGTAAAATGGTTGGAAATTATAGGTCTGCCGAATATAAACATAGGATCAAATACCATTTTCGTTTGTCCGCCTCATTTTGAAGAGGTAAATTTTAATAAAACTTTGAATGTAACTATAGTTACAAGCATGTAATATAAAACATGATAATGCAATTCCATCGTTACATTTAGAGGTAAATAACTTTATATTTAATTTTGATTAAAAAGACTCATTACTAAGCATTCTCAGTTCCATAAAACGAAATCAATAGCGGCCAACATGTGAACAGCTCGAGATTAAATTATTAGACTCATGTTTGTTTAAAATGAAGTAAGTGCTTCAATGAAAATATTTTTATGACACAGGTAAATAAATTATTTGACAGGAAATAAGACGTAAAATTTCATCTAGATTTTAATCATTCTTGGCAAATTTAATTTGTAACATTGTGACATGACATGAGTGACATTTCTTGTGGCATTTTTGTTGTCGTCATAGTTTAATATATGGTTGTTTAATATGCGAAACATGTTAGTACTGGCACTGTCTCTTGTTACATTTTCTGTTATACCATGTTTTAAGCAAATAACGTATTATTAATATTATGTGTGATTTTATGATTATCGATAATATTACTTTACTACTATTATATAAGTAATTTTATTTATTTCAAAAATTAAAAGGAAGTGTTAAAGATTCACCTAAATCAAAATCACTGATATTAATTCTATACCAATGCATAATACAAAACAGCTTACATTATTTGGAAATCTTTTAAAATTTTCTTTCTATTATCAATTTAATGTATGGTGTATTGCTATGTGGAATATCCTGAATAAATAAATAAATAAATCAATCAATCTTGAGAATGGAAATGCGTAGGGATCTCCAGATTTAGATTACAATTTCTTCTTTTTTTTAATATACTCTCAAATTACATTTTTTTCTGTGCAAATTCACTTTTCGTAATTTGTGAACATTTATAAATACAAAATAATGACTTTAAAATCCCATAAGACATTTCCAGATGACATAAAACATTCCCAAATGGAATATTGATATACTTTATATATACTTTAATTAAACTTTTATTATCTTTCTGTACAAATAATTTGTACAGTTTACTGTAATCAAAGCAAGAATGTAATTATTACAAACAGAAAAATCAGTTTTAACATTCAAACCATACATTTGCATGTCTATATTGACTTATCTATGATTATGGTACAACACTATATCCGCCACTTGTGTGGTACAATTTTGGTTTAGGTAGGTACGTTTATTCCGTAGATAGGGACTACAGCAACTACTACGACAACTGCTTTCCATTATTTTTTTTCCATCCTCTAAGGGTTATAACCTCTAAGGTTAGAGTAGTTTTTCAACCCGGACACTAGCAGAATAGTCCTTAGTGGAACAGAAGCCAAAACAAACAAAATAATTAGAGTGGTATAAGGGTTATAACGGCATTGTGAATTTATGATTTTAGTGAACCATCTTTCTAATTTGTGTTGTGAACGTATTATATGAACGGCATTTACACACATATAAAGTATTCGTCTCGTATGGGAGTATTAATAATAATTGTACGTATTACGTGCTCTGTAGTATGGTTGTATTGATTGGTTTAACAGTTTTTTTCTAATAAACAAAACTTCTTTTTAAAGATATGTATTGTGGAAGGAAAAAACTTTGAAGGAAATTATTGGTTTCCACATGTTGCGATAGGTATATTAATAAAGTATTTTGTAATTTGTATTTGTATTTTGTATTTTAAATACACGCCATGAAAGTATTTTGTATTTTGTATTTCAAATACACCTCAAGAAAGTATTTGGTATTTCGTATTTTAAATACATATAAGGAAGTATTTTGTAATTAGTATTTCAATTAAGACGTAGCATGTATTTTGCCCAGCCCTGTTCGTAATAAGAAACGACGCGTTGCCGCCATTTTTTTTTGCGTGCAGGCAAAAGC